TGACCAAGACAGAATTCCTCTTTCAAATATCAATATCAAGCAGACAAGTGATGAGAATAAAGAAAAATACCAATTAGGGGATTATAGATTGATCCAATACCAAATTCTCCAAACTAACATCACAAGAACTGTATGGCAGACAGTAAGGAGAATTACTAACAAGATCTTGGGAGTTAACAGGTTCTCAATCAGTCCTCCATCTTAAACCCATTACACCCTAACATCACTTTTAATATTCTCCATACTCTTCTCTAAAAATTTCTCAAGGTGCTGACCAGGAGAATTTGTTTAACAATCAAGAGCTTCTTTTCCTCTTTTCTCTTGGCCTTGATTTGTGATTCAGAGTGATGTTGTAAGAAGAAATTAGATGCTCTTTGCTTTGCACATCCAATGGCAAAAAGGGTCACCTCACCTTTAATCTCTCAACCTTTCTTTTGGCCAGTGTTTGTTGAGCTTCTTCTCTAAATGAAGTCTGCAAGATGCAAAGACACTTCAAAATTAAAATCAGTTTAAACATGACCTGCTAAATCTACTAGCTAACTTTCATGCTGTTACCATGGGATGTTTGTCTATAATACAACATAAATGTATTAGGCAATTACATGACTGCAATACAACCTGGTTAGCCTGTGGTTAGCTATAATCCTGATATTGCCACACCTAAGGATCTTATCTGACCATACTGGCCTGTTTGTATTGGTAAAATCATGATTTTGAATGCAATTTGGTGTTACTAAGCATGAGTAAAATTTTCAAAGACAATAGAATTGCACATATCCATAAGGCAAGTACAATTCATAGTCTTTGAAATATTTACTAGAAAAGTGCTTACTAGTGCTTATTACACCATATCATTGTTACTTGTTAATAATTTACATGAAAAATGCATCACAGAAAAGGAAGATGGATGAAATTTTGGTGGCGCCCATGTGCTATTTGTGCTTTGCACTTGTGTTACAACTTTGCATTTGTGTTACAACTTTGCACTTGTGTTACATGAAAAATGCGTGTAATTTTTTCATGTTTGTTATTAGTGAATTAATTATCTATATCTAGATCAAGACAGAGCAAAACTCAAGTCTGGGACTTTATAACATGACATGGGCTACCCAAGCAAGGTGCCAAGGTGTGTAAAGGTCAGCATATGGGGGTGAGGGGAGCAGACAGAGAGCATTAGGCAATTGGCAAGAGTAATGAGGAGTACCAGCAAGGGGAAACTATTCCTCGTAGATGTACCCAGAGTGAAGATGAACCAGACAAAAACTTAAGTCACTTTTGCTATATATTTGAGTGTCATCAACCTGCATCTTTGATTCACAAACTAATCTGACATGTGTATTCCACCATCTGTACTGCCACTTACAAACAAATATAATTTTTTAGGTCATAATGTACATGAAAAAATTATGCGCTTCTGATTGGCTTTAAACTAGTGCATTCTGATGTAACACAATTACAAAGTTGTAACATGAGTGCAAATTATATCATTAATAAGTAATAATGTAATTTCCCTTACATTTTGGTGTAGTATGCACTTAAGTCTTGTAAATATTTCAAAGACTGCAAATTGCACTCGCTCTAAGGGTTGTGCAATTTTGTTGTCTTTGAAAAATTTACTTGTGCTTATTAATACCAAATTGCACTTGGAATCATGTCATCACCAATACAAAACAGCTGTAAACCAAGCAGCCAGGGCCCAAAACAATGAAGATAAATCATCAAGATTTCAACTTTCCAAAAAAACACAGGAAACAACACAAGTAGCAGGCCACAGATCTAAGACACCCAACAGTTCAAGGTAAATTGTGGAAGTTATAGTACTTTTCAACAAAATTATCTATCTAAGCTGTAAAATACCACCACAATTGCAAAAATCATCTCACTATTTTTTGCACATAGTCGGCTTGTTCCTGTTCTTTCCTTTTCTGGGCATCCTCCAAATATGTTGTGAGTCCTAAAGACATGATGATTAGCTTATTCAACTTAGAAAGTTCAAGAGAAGGTTTTTTTAAAAATTTGTCTGAGAGTTTAGATCCTCAACTGACAAAAGAAGTTATGAGTTAAGCTGAAATTCACTTACTTGGATCATTTTCCATTTCAA